CTACTCAAACTCTCATCTGTAGATTGGCCACCACCCCCCACTCTGTTGGGGACATCGGACATCTGTTTGGCAAATCCTGGTGCAACCCCTACTCTCCCAGATGGCTGTTGTAGATTCAGTTATTCGATGTCAAGACTTGACCCTGAATTGAAGCCTTCAATTCCATTATAAATTTGTAAATACTGTATAGCTAGGTATTAATTGTTGTTACGCTTAAGTCCCACCAAGTTATTTATGGCTGTAATTTATATAATAGACATGAAGATGGCACTTTTCTGTAGTTGCTTTCTTGAAAAATACCAAAATACAATTCAACATTGCTCCTCTACATTGTTAGACTGGGTTCCAGTCCTTGTGTTGTCTTAATCAGTGAAAACTATTAAAAATAAAGCAATTCAATAAATTAGAGACTTGTGGCAAGTCTACTACATAGTTGGCATCTAGTTATTATAACTTTATGCAAAAAACTACAGGACACTACCTTTCACCTACATAGTATCTCTAACACTACTCCAGCAACACTAAACAAAGTAAATATGTTACTCAACATTCACACATTTTTAAAACATCCTAGACAATATTCACTGCCTGTATGTGATACTATTTTGTATAGTGACATTATAGAAATACAAGTATATAATGATGATATAAAACCAAGACATTTTCCGAATGTTTTGCACCAACCTATGCAGATTTGTTTCATTGTACCATCAAAATAAATAATTAATATCCATAGAATTGTGTGTTTTGACAGTCAAATTATCAAGAAGTACAAATTCTTTTCTACATATACATATATATGCTACATACACGTGTATATATGCTACATACAATTTTATCACTTTTATACATTATTCTTTTTGATAATGCTGCTTTAGACATGACCTGAGAATTGATCTTTAAGTTTGAAAGGTAAAAGAACTTAATGGTTAGATAGAAAAATATGAGAAACTTTCAAGAGGTTACGTATGTACCGAAGGGAAGATTTAGAATTTCAGTAGTTAACATGATTCTCATACCATCCAGAAATTTGAATATAGCAGAACTAAAAAGGCCTATCACCCCATCATTTAAATTTGACAGCATAAAACACACAAATAGAAGGCACAAATAATGTTTTGGTACCCAAGCCAGAGCGACCAATTATCTTTCAAATCTACCGCTACTTTTCTATTCAAAAATATATATGTACCAGGGGCAGGCATAAAACAGGCCGGAGGACCAAAGTGAATTTCTGATTTAACAGCGAGGGCCGCACCCGAACTTTATGTTCAATTTAATATTCTTTTTTACAGATCACTGGCGGCAGGATAAATGGTAGGCGGGCTGCACAAATAGGGTTTTCACGGGCAGCATGTGGGCCGCACTTTTTCACTATAGACCAACAGATTAATGTCTAATTAATCATGTCTAAAAGTCCTAGTTTTGAAACGACTAAGAAATCATTTATTTAACATTATTTTTGTAGTTAATTCAATTAAACAATGTATGCACAAACACTGGAAGGAAATTACTCAAAGTCGTGTTTGTTTTGACTCTATTTGTGCTGTATTTTCACTTCCCAATAACTATGACATAAAATGTCCAATGTCAGTGAATGACTCCTCATTTTTACGATTACATACTGAAGTATCTGAAAATACCAATAATCCGAATATCAATTTTTGCTACAACTTGGCCATTTTGCCACAACATGCCTCAAATGTTAAACTTCTATCAAATTTTGGTAGACAGGTGATAACCATTTACTTAAGTTGCACTAACATACCCCACCCTTATAATTAGCCACATTTCTATATTATATAGTGTGGAAATTATAGACAAGCACCCATCGACATCACAAGAAATCTTACACGTACAATATGTAGATGAAGTTATTTGGAGTTGTACGAACTAACACAATTGAATATAATTGTGTTAGTTCGTGATGTGAGCGACGAAATGTCCAATGTCAGTGAATGACTCCTCATTTTTACGATTACATACTGAAGTATCTGAAAATACCAATAATCTGAATATCAATTTTTGCTACAACTTGGCCATTTTGCCACAACATGCCTCAAATGTTAAACTTCTATCAAATTTTGGTAGACAGGTGATAACCATTTACTTAAGTTGCACTAACATACCCCACCCTTATAATTAGCCACATTTCTATATTATATAGTGTGGAAATTATAGACAAGCACCCATCGACATCACAAGAAATCTTACACGTACAATATGTAGATGAAGTTATTTGGAGTTGTATGTAAATGCAGTCCTTCCTTTAGACTGGATTTTTCTTATTCACTGAAAACTATTAAAAATAAATCGATTTTGGCACCAATGGTGTTCCATATTACTTATTTGCATGGCATTCCATACTATACTTTGGTGGCACCCTTTGAAAGTTTTTAACACTAGGAAAAAACAAAAAAATTGAGACTTGTGGCAAATCTATCCTTCCTTGGTCAACGAGCTGCATCAGTAAGTAGGCCGGAGGTACTCCGTGATTTTGGTGAATCCACTTGTAATGTTCTATGCATAAGAAATGAAATAATCCATAAAATTGTTAAAATAAACTTAATTAAACCATTTAAAAAAAATTAAATATAGTGCCCAGTTGAAAATATTTTACTGTACATAAAAATATAACAATACATTACTCTCAAAAACAAAATTCCCACATTGTACCTCATTAATATAAACTGAATATAATGACTGAATTAAGGGATTTTACTTACGGGCTCTCCCGATGTGAGTACCGCATGACCGGCGGACGGCACGGCTGTAAGGGCAGTGCAGATTGCATCTTTTGTGATGATAGGTATGACATAGCTTCCAACTTCCTCACGTATGCACCTGTAAATTACAATATGTAAATTGGAAAAATCATAATAAATGATCATATGTGCACCTTTCTTGATTAATAGGCCACTCTTGAATGTCATGCCAAACATGATTTTGCTCTTGTTTCTTAGAGATATATATTGCGAGAAAATTATTACAATGTGCCTGGATTTCTTGTATCATCTAAAACCTATTAAACAACTTTTTTTCTTATGATATCAAAAATACTAATACTGTATTGCAACAAGTGATATAGGCCTGTATACACAATCTACTGTTTGATCATTCCAATGATGTATAAATGGTGCTCTCGAAAAGCATCTCTTTTGAATTAAGGAGGTCTCATGAATAAGCGCTGCACTGAATTCTCCTAAAGTTTTATACATGTCATGGGTCATTTATTATGAGTGTGGTGTATAGAATATGGCCTACTAACACAGAGAACATTAATAATGGATACAGATGAAATCTGCATGTCTGTTTTATTATTTTAACTTCTATTACCTTAAATTCGCCATCTACATATTACAAACAATATTTAAATAGTTGTTGATTTACTCATAATTAAAGCAGTAATAAAACAACAATATAATATATAATATAACAAAAACAAAACAAAAACATTAATCATTCATATCATTTAAATAACTGAATATATTTTAAATATGATTTATAAATTATTTGTATAAGAATCTATATATAATATTTATAAAGTGTATTAAATCTAACATTATTCTAATTTGTATTATACTACATAATGATGAAATTTATATACCTTAACTATATAGTTAAATAAAAACATGCTTCTACGTATAATGTTATGTGAGGTGTTAGGGTAGTGTAGGTCTAATAATAATATATCTAGTTAGTTCTCTATTTGACCATGTATTAGTAGTATTCTTCCAGTTATGATGTGTTCTAAATGTCATAAAACTATTGTAATTAAGTCTAACACTACCATTCAAGCCACAAGTGCTCATGAGCAAGAGAAGCACTGTGTCTTCAAAAGCAGTCTTCATGTTAATGTAAATGTATTTCTGTATTTGATTGATTTTATTAGACTACTGCAGATATGATATACATAACCTAAAATCTAATGCAAAACACTTTGTGCACTACAGCTATCTTATACTCCAGGATTTGATAACAGAAAGATGGAGGACCGTGGTTCAGTTTGGAAATCTAAATTCTTTTCATACAAATACAGGGCATTTTTTTTCATAGTGGATAGTCACTTACTAACTTCCATATGAAGAAAGTGAACAGCTCAGATATCTATTTCGCATATCATTGCTCACAACACACAGAAGCAAAAAATAGCTTTTGGTCATTTGTGAAAACACTACATTTTTTACTTTTAGACACACGGTTGTTGTCGCACATATTTGTTTGTGTAGTATTATTAGATAACAATTCTGCATGCTCCTAATTGTTGTTCTTTGTTATGTGATTATTAATCATCACAAAGAATAGCACCTTCTGCTCTTAGTTACTGTTTATGCTTCTCAATGGCTGTCCACTTGCAATCAAATAATCAAACTCTAATATAAATATGCTATCATGTATTAAGAACCAAATGTTGAAGCTTTTCTTGTTGGATACCATTTTAGATTAAATATGAAACGTTGTGATTGAGATAAACACAGGATACTGATAATTTTGAACGGCGGAATATGAACTCTGATAAAATTAATGGAAGCAATTGCGAATCTACATTTCAAAATTTATTTGTTCATCTTTAAATGAGTCATTCATGAAAAAAAAATATGAACAAAGTATGTAACACATTGATGAACATTTTGAATAATTTATGTATGATTATAATTATTTCAGCAGAATATGAACGTAATTCCATAATAGTGATGAATATTGATGATTTTGCTTTGACTTGGTAATGGACAGCCCATGTCATGTACAATTAGTTGTCACAATATAAGAGGCATAATGATTATATATATCTGTAGAAGATCATGAAAATAATTCATTATTTTTACCAAAAAAAAAATGTTATACTGGATGATGATATAAATTATAGAAACACTTCCAGTGAACAGAAGTTTTTCTATTATTTTTCATGGTAAAAATGAGCAAATTAATTTAAAAATTGATCTTTATGATTTAAATATTGTTTGCTTTTTTCTTGGTTATTTTTTTACTTTTAAGCTGTTTTGAGATTTTTTGACATGTATTATGCCAAAATTTCCTTTTTTTCTCAATTTGTAGCCAACTGGTAATTTAGTCTGTCCTACAATCCCCCTGCCCAAATCCTCCTACAATCCCCCTACACAAATCCTCCCCAACCCCTACTGTTGGTATTGCAGCTGTTTGCAACCTAGCCATTATGGACACACTGCATAGACCATTTTCGTGAAATTTGAAATGAAAAATTTCTGATAACGTGGCAACTAACACTGGGGGACTTACAGAGGCCTATCATAGATCACATTGTATTTAATGAAATAAATCAAGATATTTTTTATCAAATAGTCATATTAAACCCTGATCAACTATTTTAGGATGGAAAGCTAATGTTGGGAAGGAATTTTATCTGTTAACTTCACCACACCAATGATGGAATCAATACCCATGAAAGTAATGTAATTCCTTGTTTTCTAAATTTTAAATCTCACACATGGAGTCGAAGCTGGAAGCATGATGGGAAATGAGGAAGCACTGGATTTAGGTTTGGAAGATGCGATCGATAGCCAAACACACACAAACTTACACTCTGGAGCAGTGTTAATGGGTGGAAGAACAGGACTCTCTAAGGCTATTAATTACAAAATATAAAAGAATATTAAAACCTTAACATCTTTAATTATGTACAAATTTTACTCATTCAATCAATAATATTCAAATGTAATTCAAAACCTGAAAAGAAATACTTAAACAGAAGGAATCTGTGTATTATTTGGAGAAATACTGAAATAAAAAATTGAAGCTATACCATTAATGCGATTATCAGTAGGCTTGTGCCTTATTTGCCTAATGGTTAATCTGGCACTGATTATCATCTTAAACAAATTAAATCCCAGATTAAATGAACTTTATTGGCAAATAAATATTAAAATTATGTTCACTCAAACTTCAAGCAAATTCATCATAATTTGTACAAAAATATGATTAGTGATAGGAAGAAGTATGGATGAACATATTCTAAAGAGGTGGAAGATATGATACCCAGGGCTAGAAAAAATGCATGACCGGCAGTCGGAGGAATCATGATTGTCCCGGAGGCATTTGGGGAAAAACATTTTTTTAAATAAATTGTTGGGTTATATAGTGTACAGATAATATTTAGTACTGCAGGCATTTTATCAAGACAACTTTCACGGCCGGTGGCACAAGCCTTCTTTTTCCAGGAGTGATGCTACCTACAGTATAAATATAGACTGCATTGGATTGGATTGGATTGGATTTTTTCGGTGTGAATACCAAGAATAGAACACGAAGGTCTCGAAGCAGACTTATTTCCAGACGGTGCGCTATAGTAACTTGTACGTGAGCCCTCCAGCTGAAACACAAGGAGAGGCAGCGATGGGAATTGAACCAGGGATATAGAGATCTCCACAGTTCAGCGCACACACAGTGGCTACCGCCAGATTAGCTGACAGCTAAGCTGCATGTTGGAATGTAAGATCATTACATATTAGTATGTTTAGTTTCAGATGGTGAAAATATTAAATAACACAAATACATATCTCAATATTCATTCCTAATTAAATTGAGCATTATGTACAGCAGTGCATTTTTATTATATTCTTAGGATGATTACGCACAGTTATCAGCCAGATATTTCAACACACATTTTTCATATAAAATTGCTTATAAATTATTACACATACTCTATTCATTTGTTCACTTTTAAGCCAATCAAGAGTTTTTTTTAGGGTTTTAAAAAGTTTAACACATAAAGCTCCTACTTTGATTATTTCATGTATTGTATATATGCAATACTCCTCTCAATGTAAGGTATTGCAATAGGCAATGAGATATGTATGTGGCCTACAAAATCCTAATGACTAACAAGAAATGCTTACACAGTGCATACTGCACATGTCTCTGATGTAATTGTACCATATAATGTTAAACATGATTTTTTTGTGAGTAGAAATTGGTTACGATTGAGATGAAAAGAAAAGCAAAGGATGGAAGTAGCTTACGCTCCAAAGAAGGGCAGGTGTACGAACGGGGCAAAGATGGCCGTTGTTCAACCTCCTCCAGTTCCCAAACTACTCGGTGATGAATCATGCAAGAGAAAGTTGAAAGTCAAGATGAAGAACACACACCAGTAGCAATGTATAAAGAGAGATGATGTAAGAAAAAAAAAACTACAAAGATCCCAAGTAAAATTTAAAAATACTAATATAAAGAAAACATTAAAATATTATGCATTCAGTTAATCACATAAAAATAGAAAGACAACTATTATAAAATAGTTTTTAAAAAAAAGCAACATTTAATACAATGACAGTATAATATACAATATAGGTTTTTTATGTAAAAATATATTTGTAAACAATGAAGAAAACATTTACTGGTAAAACAGCCAAAATGATAAGCACACACAAGTACCAATGTACTATATATAGAAAAATAATGGAAAAAAAACTACGAAGTTTCCAAGTAATATAAAGAAAACAATGAGAAAATTATACACTCAGTTAATCACATATTATAAAATAGCTCACAAGAAAAATAAAAATACTATTTAACAATGACAATACACTTCAGTGAAATATACGTTCTTGTGTAAATATTCCAGAAAACATTGAAGAACAACTGCAGAAATTATGCTCTCATAAAACATCATTTAAGAATACCACCATAACAAAGAAGAGCATGAACAGGTATTTTACATAGCTATTAAAATCAGGATGATGATAATTATTTAAATACACATTTAAAATTGAAACAACTTTAAAAGCATTATGGGTAAATAATATGTGATCATTAAGATAACTTGAATATTAATTAGTTAGTTGAAGAGAGCATTACTGGAGTGTTATTCGCTTGCAGAGGATCCAAAATGATTGGTGGATTATTATATTTTAACATTTAGTATTTACAAAGTGGAAAGTGATAAATGACATCACACATAACATACCTTTGTCATACAGGTTACCATTGGGGTTACCAGGATGTAGGGGTGAGCCTGGCATGTGAAGAGGTTGCGTTCTGAATTGCATCGGGATGAACTGGTAACGATTATTATTCAAAGGTTGCGGAAGATTACATTCCATGGTGCCTGTACTGGTTCCACCGGATTGACCAGTTCCTGGCACATGCGACGGAAGTTTCTCCAGCGTCTTTTTTAGCAAAGGTCTGTTTATATAAATGAAAAAATAAAAATTATTAAAAAAAGTTTTCAATAAACTATAATAAACAAACAAACTTCTCTAAAACTGAATTTGAAAAGAATTTAATCAATAATTATTCTTAAAATCCGTAGTAATGTTTATAAAGTTTCTGATTGTCTTTAATTTATTCTCTGGGTCTATTTTTTAACATTATTTAATCAAACAATTACTATCATATTTGGTACCACAATTACTACAGTTAACAATTTACAGGAGAACTGCAGACTAACAAATAAAAAGTCTAATCAAATGTTTAGTATTGGGTATTAACAGCTGTAAACAAGATATATTATAATTCAGATAAAGTGAACCTCTTCATCTACCTTACCTTGATGCCAGTTATCCCTTTCTTTACACCTGATTTATAAATTCAATTATTACTAAATGTTTATCAACCAATACAAATGCTTGTACCTGTGGCTACTCATAAATGTCTGAGCTCTTTGGTAAAATACTGTACGGTCTGAGTTGCAGTGCTTATCATGCAGCGGGTCAACAATAGTGTTAAAGTTCATTGGCTTTGAGTATGTCTTCTGTAAAGTTGCAAGATTCTTCTGCTTTTGATTATCTAATTCTGTATACCTATAGGACAAGAATGGACTATGATGTTAGTAAGTACAGATATCACGCAGACTTGCTTGATTGATTGATTGATTGCTTTCACCTCTAAGTAGCCTGTCTAACAAAGTCAAAAACGGTATTTCTTTCCAGTTTTTAACAAGGTACAGTTTTGCTCCTTCTCATAGAATCAGTCTTGAGTTTAGATTATAAATCAGAGAGTATTTTTTTTTTATATCCATACTGTTATTTCTATTTTACACTGTTGGATACAATAAAAAATAATTAAATATCACATGTCCATTCCTATAATAGTATAAGATATTTTATAATACTACAAAAATTCTAAAAATTGTACCTTTCATATGGTAATTCCTGAAATTGAACTCCATCCCTCTCCCATGGAAACAAGTTGGGGGTCTTCTTTGACAATGGCTCTTTGCCTTTGAACAAATTCCCAGATAAATATTTTCCCTCTTCCAAAGCCATCTCTTCTCTTATTGGTTGTTCCACCGTACAGTTCTTACCCTTTGACTTTGGGTTTTGAGGCTCACCCTCTGTGTATATGATCGTACCATTAGCAGACAGTACAAACCCATTTGTGTCAACATTCTCCTGTGTGTCAGAAGGCATCTTGTCTAATGATGACAAATTGGTTTCTGATCTGAAACGGGATCCTGACATCATTGTTGGGCTGTATCTGGAGCTACTATAGGATCCTCTTCTATTAACAATACCCTGAAGATTGCTGTCATGTGATATGCTTGATGACTGAAGCCTTGTTAATTTCTTTACTTGTTGGTTGCCTCTGAAAGTTCTGTATTTCTTGCTAGTAATACTACCTCCTAATTCTTGCTTTCTCAATTTAATATCAACATCTGTAAACTGTCTGTGCTTTATAGGGAATGTTGGTTGTCGCTCTCTATGATGTATGCCATCTACTGGTCTGTCTTTAACACTGGCCACAGACACCTTTTGCATGTCTTGCTCTTGCATGTCAGTCTCTGTCTTTAGTTTTCCATAATTTTTTCCATTATTCTGCCCAGTTTCTTCTATTGGCTCCATAGACTTGGGTTCTTTATTTGTCAGAGAATTTCTACCCCCACAGTTATCAGAAAGTGTTGTTTCCTTTAATATTGACTGTAGTCCAGTAATAGTGCCTCTGGCAGGTGTGTATTTATTAAACTTGTGCTTGCTTCTTAGCTTTGTTCCCTGTTCACGAGACTGTCTATTCATGTGCTTAACCTCATCATGTGGCTCACCAGTTTTCTCATTCCAACTATCATGAATTCTAGCAGTTGGTTCACCACAGCTTTGTGCATCACCAGACATATCAACAGCAGGAGACTTCTTCACTGAGTTTTCAGCCTCATATTTGTTACGAATCACAACTTTCCATTCACTCTGGGGTTCATCATCCTCAACTGATTCATCAGAATCACTAGTTATTTCACAACCTTGATAATGAGTGCTCTTCGGGTTGCAATTATCCGATGAATTGTCTCCATGCGGTGTGTTCTTTGTTCCATCTATACTATAATGAAGCACATGATTCTGATTGATTTCTCCATCAGGCAAATGGTTTCCTCCGGGCACTGCAGAGCTTGATTTACTATCTAGTGTTAATGAGGTAGAATACATATCTCTCTGGGAAGAGCTTCTCGTTCTCACATCACTGTCAGAGCTTGAATAAACTGTAGAATCCAAAGATTGGTCTTTTAATGAATAGCCTGTTGTAGCCAAACAAAGAGATTTAAATATACAAGATTGTGTAGGGTTTAAAAGTAATAATCTGTAAATAGCAAGTCTACTATGCTATGTAATATTTTCTATCCTGAATAAACTTTCACAAACCTGAAGATGGTCTTGATTCTGTAGACTCACTCGGAGAGGAATGTGCATTTCGCTGCTAGAAACACAAAAATTGAATTGGTTCATGAGATTTTTAAAATATAATATAAATGAAATTTGAGTTAACAGACAGGTTAAATACATTTGGCACTTCCCAATTGTTGTTAAATTGTAATGGGCATGTAGATAAATTAATTAGCATTTTGTATATTTCATATTTTTTACATCTTTGATTTAATCATTTCAATAATAATTAGAGTGGCGATCATCACTACTGCAATATTTTTAATGTCATTTTTATGTATTGATTATATATTCTATGCAAATAGTTATTTCTGAATTAGTGCTAGACTTTAGATAATTTTGATGGTTCAATTATTGTTAAAAATTTTGATTGTAGGGTAAAATTTAGGTTTATATTTCAGCAAAATTTGATGGGTATTATGAGCAAAGGAAAACATTGAAATTAAGATATTTCCTTGTCATTCTTTTGACTTCTAGTGACTTACCCAAAATAATCGAACTTTGTTTCTCGACTTAGCAGCAAAAAGGGAATACAAGGAAAATAGATTACAGTTTATTGTCTTAATCGAATATAAATTTTTTGTGTGTAGCATCCTGATTTAAAGTGCAGAAAACAACAAATTGAGTGATAACACATTGTGCCAATGAGAAATCCATAAACCAAATTTAAGACAAATATACAAATATTGGCAACATAACAACGGAAAAATATTGGAATACAAACATATATACATATTTACTATTCAAATAGAAAACAACATTCCTAAACCATGTTGCTACATTGTATTTATCGTTGTGTTGGTCTATACATTTGCCTATAAAATTCATTTCTTCGTGCACTGAAATTTATTTGGGTTTTTTTTACCTCTTAACACTTCTTTCATTTTTCTTTACTTTAATTTATAGTTTATTTACCAAATCTGGACCTCTTGACAGACCAGTACAGATGTCAATTGTTTTGAAAAATTTACCAGAATAAAGAAAGATTAGTATTATATAACAAGCAACAACAATAACAACAACAATAATAGTATTTTTTTTTAAATGTCTTTACACAAGGGAATTTCTCAGAATAGTTACTGCAAATTTCATGGTAGGAAATATTCCCTTGGGTTGAGAACAACAGCTTAATCTTGGTTTTATTGAATAACAACACACGTGAACTATTATTCAAATATTAGAAACAAATAATGATTATAACAATAACAATAATAGTTTCATCCAACTGAAATTAGGACAAAATAATACATCACAAAGAACTAAGTTTCTGTCTCATATATAACTAGATGCTAAACATGTTTTTAAGAAGGTGAAATATTTCGTAATCTATGTTTGTTAACGTTAAAAATGGGGTCAATCTACACCCAAAATACAATTAGAGTATATCGCATGTAAAGCATTTTAAATCATCAATATCTTTATATCACCTGCACAACTATGACACACTGAAATCAGAAAACAACTTACCTTTTGTGAAGACGGTGTTTTAATACGATTGCCTTTTGACAGCAGTTGGCTTTGCTGTTTTACCTGTCTAGATGCTGAAAATGAAAAAAAAACTACCTTAAAATACATTATAGAAAAAAAATCACAAAGTAAAATGCAATTCCTTCAAACATGAAACAAGATTCATTGATTTAAACACAATTTTCTCATATTTTTTTACCTGTATTTCACCTGCTATACATCTATACATCAAAGCAAACCTAGAGTGATAGTTTTGCAGGTGTTGTTAACACTGAAGTCACATCAGTTAGAAGCAAAACCAACACAGACTGCATTGGAAATTGAGCATTCAATAATTACAGATTGTTAAGCTTTTTCATCCAAATTATTAGCATGCCTCAGGGGATTTTTTTAAAAATAAAACACTAGTGTAATTGTCCAAGTCTAGTCAATGAAGTCAGTAGCTATTTTTTTTAATGCATTTTCTTACCTGCATCTTGATCAGTGCTTTTGTGTGGATGACTGAAGAAGATTGGAGCTGTTGATTGCACATTATCTAAAAAAAAATTGTAATTAATATTAGATGATTAAAAATGTTAACATAGTACAGTTCAGTTTTCTTTAATCACAATATAATTCAAATGCACAAATTAATATAAAATACAAATACATAAGTACAAATTATAAAATATGAATAGTATCAATTGTTGTGCTGGTTTGTAATTAAAGAGATGGACCTAATAAAATAGTTTAATCCAAGCTTACATTCATCTTTAAGAGTCTTCTTCTTTGCAGGTTCACTTTCACACCTGCCTTCACTTGTAACTGCTACCACCTACAAATAAAGATTTGCATTATGTTAGGAATAAAAGTACTGTAATTAAAAATAATTGTTTAAACTGTAATATGTTAAAAAAGACAATTACTTAAACCTTCCTTAAAAATAAATATACAGTTTATCTGTCTTTATTGTATACTCAGGTAAAACACTATGTATCACTGCTTAACAACATTAATAGACTTTTTTTTGCATAGTAATGTAAGCTAACGATATCGTAGCTTTCACAGTTTCATTCAGAAAATTGTTAAATCTTACATAAACAGGGGCGGATCCAGAGATGTCCAAAATGGGGGGGGGGGGGGGGCCGAAAGTTGGGCTGATCGAGACAACACTACCCTAGGGGGTCAAAATTTTTGTATTCTGGACGCCCAAAAATAATATTTGAGGCGTTCTGGGCTATCATTCACCCTACTCCAAAAAAAAAAAAAAAGGATATACATTATTCATAAGCTTACCTTAAAAGTGTACTCTGTATTTGGCACAAGTCTACGAGCTGTGAAACTTAAATCTGTTCCAGAATAAACCACCTTGCCGTTGAGTGTAATTTCAAACTTGTGTAATCGACCAAGAGGAAATTCTGGTGGCAACCATGTCAAATGTATCTCATTACGACCTCTGACATTAAGTATTGGCTTTCCAGGAGCATGTTTACCTATGTTACAAAGAATGTAAACACATTTGAAACATTATACATATAAACAGACAACAAGCGAACATTAGCTGAAATGAGGTTCTAGGACAATTAATATCTTGGACAAGTCAGCTGGAACAATTGTGGTAACTAACTACTACCCAGTGGTGTATAGCCTGCTAGTACCTAGAGATAGTACTACCAGTGGTGTATAGCCACAGTGGCAAATCCAAGGGGTGACAAATCCAAGGGGTGGCAAACAAGAGAGATTAAAATGGCTAAAACTCTGAAGGTCCATAGCCTAGCTGGACCCCTACTATATATCATCACAACAGCCAGGAATTCCCGACGAGAGGTCCAAGCTCCTCGACAAGGGGTCCACCCGACACCCTCGGTCGGAGAAGCCTAGCCCCACCACCCCCTTGCCCAGTCTGGGAAAAAATTAAATTTTTCGGGGAATATTTTATTAAGAAATAATAAAATTTTAAATTTAATTATGGAATTCTTTATTTATAAAGGAGAATTTGATAGAAAACCATGCAAGTTGAGAGTCCCCCTATCGGGGATACTAGCCCTCTGTCAGACATATCAGCCCCGTCAGGGAACGGCTGGTGCCACAACTGCAACCCATACGATTGCGATAGTATACAACACCACTTACATATGGTAACACTAAACAGTTTTTAATCCCTAAAATTTGACAGCTTAGTACTGCATGCTTCAATTGTACTTTTGGCACTCGAGATTTGATTTTTCCCCGACAACCTTGCTGGAAATTCCCTAACAGGGGAGTCCAAGCGGGGGTCCAGAGGTCCTCAAAGGAGGGATCCTTTGCCTCTATGGACACCCAGCTAGCGCCGCATCTGCATCCCAAATACCTTATCTCTTGACTATAAGAGTAGGACCCTGGCTGTTTCCTGCCCCTTTGGAAATTTGGGTTCTAGACCCTGGCAAAAACATTCTGGATCTACTGAGTCAGCTGGTAGCCAGTGGTAAAAGTACCCAGTAGTATTAACTATTACCATGCCATGTAAGCCAGATAGCACCTTTTAGTGTCACACTAATAGCCAGCTAATATGCAGAGGCAAACAGCCAGCAAGTACCCAGTGAGGATTCCCACCAGCATGTCGGGATTGAAGTTTGGTAATTGTGAGGTCTGGCAGCCTGTCAGTTTTCCCAGACACAATACTGGCACCTTCAATATAATTTTCAGTCTACCTACCTAGCTCCCCAGTTGCTGCTGATATCCAAGCCTTTGGCCCCTTCCCTTTATGGTTAAAAGCACACACCTATTAAATAAAGTAAAATTTAATAATGAAGATAAAAAAAAAAACACATTATGAATTCGATATAGTGCAGTACAATAGCATAATAAACAATAAGTTTTAAGAACATTTAAATTTAAAATTTTTTTTTATTACGAATCCATTTAGTACTGTACATCTTGCAAAAAAAATAAAAATGTTGTCGTTGCAAAGTTACAGGTGTTAAGTTTTTACATTCTTTAATTTATATTATTATTATTATTAGAAAATATATTACATTACCTAAAAAATATACTACGGTTATAACATTCGCTGACATGGACAAGAATACGGATTTTACGAGGTTTTACAAATGGACCAGTGTTGAGCATACTTCTTTTGTATATAATCACGCTTGCAGCGCGTGCTACCACACCTGCCCATACACACCGATGTCAGATGTAGGTACATACAAACGTAAAGATAAATTTGGAATGATTGATGTGTATTACTACATATAACTGGAAATATGTTCATTTGGTAGCGCCCTTGTGCCAAAAGGGGAACAACTCTAACATACTGCATAATAGCGAAGCATGTTAAAGGAATTACTGAATTCTTTAAAAGATACACTTACATAGATATCATACTTGGTACTAGGTGCCAATGCACTGAGGGTACAGCAAAGTTCTGTTGTTACTTCCACCTGCTGTTTACCATTATAGACAACATAGCCTTTCAACCCGCCATTGATTAACGCCGGGGGTGACCAGCCTATCCTGATCTGTGATGTTGAAACAGCCAGGATACGCAAAGCTTCGGGAGCATCAGGCGCTGTTAAAATTGGAAGAATGCCAATCAGCAAATTCAAATGACAAAAATTACCTAATATAACTACTTTCATTATAGGACTAGAGAAAATCCTTAGAGTCACATCGCTAAAGTCAAGCGACACTGCTTCACTACTTTGCAACTACTTAAAAAGGGGTTGTTACAGCCAAGTGGCCTCAAAGATAACTCACATATTACAAGGCTATTTTAACTTAGGAAAGGAAACAAACTTTTTTAAATCAATAACTTAACAAAAACACAAAAATTAGCCATATGCTAGTATCAGATGCATATTTAATTGTTCATAATTATAGTGAGTTTCCAAGGCACGAATAGACACAATGTTGTAAAATTAAGTGAGAATGATACGCATGTATTCTGTAGATTTGGCTGTTATAGGAGGCTTTTAGTGTATTGACTGCACTAGCTGTTTGGACGTCAGTGATGTAACATTCTATATCTCTTTAAAATAAAAAAAAAAACATCTTTTGTTTTTTGGCAGTGTAGCAGAATTTTCATATTTTACATCTAAAACACCATCTATTAACGCCACAATTATAACAAAATTGTGATTATATGGGTGTCTCTAAAAATAAGTAGAGTGTGCTTATAATCACAATTAAATGCAATTCTTACCACATTCCTCAGTGGCAACTTCCACCACATCACTCAGTGGACTTTCATCACCATCTGTTGTTAATTGCAATTTTAAATAATATAAATGATTTGGTTTTAGGTTGGTTGCAAGGAAGCTAGTGTTAGCACCTTTGTAGAGCACAGTAGAATCTAAGAGGGAGTGAAAATAATTAATAATTTTAATATTTATAAAGCAAAAGAAAATTGTAACTTACAACATTTGGTTTTTAATGATCAGGTTTAAAAAATAAAATGATTAATAAATATAAATAAATAATATGATTTTTCATACTCAAGAACCTGTTTTAGTTTGAGAATAAAATTAAGTTGTTTTTTTTTCAGTACCTTACTTATATTTTCATCATCACAGATTATATCATTGACATTATGTATCATAATATTAAGTTTTGCATCAGTTAATTAATATAGCATGCACAGTAAAAAGCTGAATTTCTTACCTAAATAAAGCTTATAAATAACATCAAGTCCACTTTTCAAAGTCACTGTATCCCATGTGAGCATGATCTCCTTGGGACCTTTGACCTCTAGCGTGGGCGGATTTGGTTTTTCAAGTTTTTTCAACAGCTCCAACGTCAGTTCAACCTCATCTCGAAGGTCTTGTGATAGTTCTGTTTTGCTATTAATTTGCTTAAAAACATGAGAGAAATCCATTTTTACTAACATTTTTCAAAGCTGAAAATCAATCTGAGAATATTTCATTCTATTAGGGCAAAGTAATAATGAATAAGTTAGCAACCAATTACTAATTTGACCTACTTACAAACAAAATTTCATTATTTAAAAAAAACCATATTGTTCACAATGGCGACCAGTTACTAGTTTTCCCTACTAATACAAACATCTTAAAATTTCATATAATAATTTAAAGAAAAAATCATATTGTTGAAATTGGGATTCGAACCCAACATCCCAATACTGCATTTTGGGTGCTCTACCAAATCAGTAGAGGTCAAGCTGGAATACACCATTGAAAAAAGGACCAGCCACTTCCTCATAAAAAATTACCTTCAATGCGGGTACAATGATGGAATGATCTCGCAACACTACACAACCTTTCTTTTGACTTGCAAGTGTCCGAAGTGTCCTGCAAGAAAAAAGTAATGCATCAGCAAATAAAAAGTTTAAATATTTGAATTTTCTATGTTTTTGCAATGCTTGTCAATAACATTACATGGTACAAGTTTGATACAATACCCATTAAGAACTTGCTGTATATTCCTACAGTATTTATAATTATCTAATATCAATATTTTATATTTTTAGGTCTTCAAAAATACGTTCTGAGAAAGTAACTGTAATTAACTTCTGCATAAATAACACCACAATATCAATTTCACTGTATAAGTGAGCATACAACCTTGTTTGTCTAACACAACAATATGTTCAAATGTCGTATGTGATAATACATAATTCAGTCCTAATTATTAGCAGGTGATTATATATTCCCACAACAAAGCGATCAAACGTACATTGCAGCAAACCAAGAGGTTTCTACATCCTTTGAGTCCAATTGTTCTGCCAGCCTTCTCAGCATGACATCACAGCATTGGTGACCAAGTAGTAGGGCAAGGCCGTCCTTGTTACCAGCAAGACAGCTGACAGCAAAACATGAATTCTTACCGCATCCTGGGTCCTTACTTGAGAGCATATTGCTTAGGCTGGATATCTGTGTTGAAAGTATTTTAACATTAATGAATAGTAGAGATACACTTACATAGTTGAGAGCTTGGAAATATTACAGAGCAAAGTGGAACCTATTATATGGTATGAAAACAAACTATCACTTGGGTCCTATTTTAAAACTTGCCATGCTAAACTTTCCTATGTTCGTTATATATTACTCCAATATTACCCTTTATATGGGAAGTTAACCCATTGGTCCTATGTACACAATTGCTCTATGCAGGAAAAAATTTAACGATAAAAAAAAAATATTGGGGTAGTTTAAAAGGCAAATATACAAATTTTAAGAATTAAATTAAATCTGGAAGAAGGGAAGCTGAGAAGGCCATTTTATTACTTTCATTATCAGACAATTTTTTTAAATAAATTTGCATTTCAAACCATTTTTGAAATATCTTGGTGCTGTATGAGTTTTTGTCTTCCTTCTTCTGTGTCACAAATCCTTCCCACAGCAAATGCTGCATTCATCCCTTTACCTTAAAAAAAAAACAATTAAAGAAATCAAACATTAATAGATAATTATGGTATGACAACAAAACAATAAAATCATGATAAACATGTGATTTGATATTAAGATAAGCTGTATTTGGTTCTGTTGTTTATTCTGCTATAATGAGTGGATTTTTTTTACACATATGTAATACAGTATATAGAAATATTATTGTAAATTTACAATACGGTGGGTGTCGTCAGTAACGTGGTAATCAAATATTTTATTGAATGCAATTAACATCTAACTAAACCACTAATGGCCTCAGCTTCTCTATTGTTGCTAAGTGCCCATCCCCAAGGTTGTTTTTACATAAACGTAACAATATATGAATCAAGCATTTATTTTATATTTGAAAAGGCAAAGTGATTTGAATCATACTTGTGTAAAGCAATATATAATTCCGTCAAATCACTATTGCTATTAAGTTGTTTCAATAATTATTTTTAAAGATCATCTCGATTTCAAAATTTAGTTAAAGTTAATTAAGGGGTTAATTTCAATTCAAATTTATCTATACAGTATTAGCATAACACAACAGTACATTACTTAAGATACAGGTTAATAACTTTTCTGTTTAACAGGATATTAAATTTGGCATAGATCATTTACAGAAGTATTCATGAATTGATGAGATAAGGAAATGAGTAAATGAAGAAACCATCGATGATGTGCAGTGAAGGAGTTGATACAGCACAGTACATTTCCTTTGATGATGGAGATTACACAGATCAATATCAAACATTAATGATGACATATAACCTTTGACAATTTGTCAAAGGTCATTCTGTAATAACATTTACTCTAAAAAGGTGATATAGAATAAAAATACCAGTAGAAAACAAACTTATACTGTAAAAAAAAGATTACTTAGTCATACTTTAACAATCTTCACTTAAGGCATGCTTGTAACTGAATAAATACCCTGTATCATTTTAAATTATTGCTTGTAGATTATGTTTTTCAATCACTCAATTACCAAATCAAATTAATAATCAAATCATTAACTAACAAGTCAATAAATAAATAACCTATTAATTCATAAAACAATCAATCAATTAATCAATCTATCAATTAATTTGTCAATAATCAATCAAAAATTAATCAATTCATTAATCATCTAATCAATCAAATCATCATTCTAATTATTCTGTAATTAATTACTTAATAACAATAATAATAAACAATGTACAATAATCAACTAATATAGTCAATCAGTAAATCAATCAACATCAATCTACAATATTAATCAAATAATCCATCATTTTTTCATTTTAATCTTTATTAAAAGTACTTTACTGTACAACAGCACGAAAAAAAAGTACAAACATACCAGCCTCATCTACTCCAAGGGATTGAATCAGCTGAGTGAGAAGTTCTTGTGACTGTTGGTGACACAGCAATAGGTGGCAACCATCCTCAGAAATGGACAACCTGGCAAGGACAAGTGCTGCATTGCTTGCTGTCCACATGTTTTCAGACGACAACAGCATCATCACTTTACTTACGGTCGAAGTAATGCATTGCTCCTTCAACATCCATTCCCGACCTTCAGCTGTTTCTGCCTAAGGAATATAGCATTTTTATATACTATTATTCATTACTGAATGTATGAATTAAAATTATCTTGTAGCAGCTCTATACACTCTACTTCAGCATACTGTAGTGTTTTCTTTGGGTATTACCTTTTATTTCGACTCAGTGCATGTGAAATAAATACTTTCGGTAATAACGTACCTCCCAGGGTAAGGCAAGACTTTTTTTATTCCTTGTTTCGCTAACTTATCAGAGGCGGGTGAAAAAAAAAAAAATTTGTGTCTTGTTTAACAAATAGATTTGCCAAAAAACATTGAGATGGAGGATAAAATAAGAATAAAATTTTATTTGAATTGAATGAAATTTGAGTTGAATAAGTATAAGGAAAGACATTTTTTTTCTGAAATTTACAGTTTTTAACAGCTGGAGGGTGTGCTAATTGGCCAAAAATAAAATTTCATTTTTATTATAAATTATCAATTGGAGGACGGCATGGTTCGCAAATCAAAGTATAAGTCTTGCCTAAATTATAGAAAAAGAGATACTACTATAGAAAGAAAATTTATGATTATGACACCTCTAGATTGCCGGAAATGGCACTCTCAGACCTAAATTCTAATTCTAATTTTCCTTTGTTTTTTTTCCATTTTAAAAAAATGCTCGGCCCCACTTGAATCTGCCACTGATTATTATGGCGTCATTGCGAGACTGCGTCAACGTAACACTGGAGTTTGTAAACTTTTGGTAGGCTTATCACTTAATCGAAATAGGTAGATATCATATCCGTGAAATTAGAAAAAACAGTAATCCTATGATGTAGATAATATTAAACACTAGTATATACGTACAGGTCATAATAATATACAAAAAGAATAAATCGTTTATATTAGAAATTGTGCACTTTTGAGTTTGTAAAAATATTGGCCTAATAAGAATACACGCTTCCAATTTCAACAACGTTCAGTACATTGTTTTCACAATAAATTTAGCCTCTGATAGTCGTTGCACCCATAAAATCGATCTAGTGGGTTTCTGAGATGGTTACAAAATGTTTAAACAATTGCGTTTAAAAGTGAACAGACAAAATTCATGAGTCATGCGTAATTGTTATTCTTTCCATTCGCTTGTAAAAGTGGGGTTTTAATTAAACTTGATCCTATGGCTGTACTTTCTACCTGTCATTGCTATTATTAGTATTGTTTAAATTGATGTGTATTATCACAGCATTGCCATCGCTGAACCTGTCATGGCCACTATACACAAAATCTAATAGAGTAATATAGAGATAACCCATAGATTACAGTACACAATGGTTATTACAGTCAAGATTAACTGTTTGTTAGCTTCCCACAAACATTAAATTTGACAAAACGTTTGAATCAGGTCAACTTGTTGGGCAATAAAAACAAAACCTTGCTTTGTAATACATGCTAATAAATATAAATTATTCAAGCAATGGATAATTATGTGTGATATATATATTCAAGATTAGTTGATTTTTGTAAAACAATGCAATAAAAAATATGTCCCATAAATTGTTATCAAATTCACAATCAATCAGAGAATTGCAGTCTTTGCTCAAATAACCCTTTGATGTACAAATTACGCCATTCAATCCACACATCATTTGAAGTGGTAGTAAATGGGTGATGGGATGAAATTACCAATAAGTTCTAAATTAATGGCTGTTGGCTACAATATTTTATGATACAAAGTGTCATTCAGGTTTTTAGACCATACGGCTAACAGAGCCTGCTTATTGCCTAATTTGCATATCATTGTTTATCAGGGGTTTGCACAAAGGTGGCTTTTGCCCAGGAAGGTTATTTCCCAGACCTTAAATTACTTAAATTTATTATTTTATCAAAACATAAAATTAGCTTTCAAGAACTACTGAAAGCACAAACCTGTTAAGGGTTCTCCTTACAAATTACAGTATCCACAACATCATGTTAAGCACAATAAAATGAATTAGAATTATTTATTGTTCAATTGTCATCATCCAAATAAAATATTAACGTAAAATTAACAATGATTATATTTTGGTTTGCATTCATTTCTTTTTTTTTTTTTTGTAAAGTAGACCCCTACTATACATAATTTTTCCATCATACAGGAAAGCCCCAATGGTATTCAAATATTTTGATATGGTGGCCCTACATTTCAGCTTGACCACATTCATAAGTGCTTTCCTTCTTGGAACCAGTTTCTAATCTAAATACAAACATAAAATTGACTTTTTAGAATAGTTTAGAAAATATCAAGCAAGACAACTATTAAGTTGGAACATTAGAGAGCTGGAATTACTTTGAATCAATTTTTTTTACTTCATATCCATGTACGTATCCCAGGTAACAATTGAAGACACAGCTTCATTCTCTAAAAAGTATCAACAAATCAATGGAAAGCAGTATGAACGTGACTACATTGTCTTATTTGGTATTTGCAAATTTGACTAATTAAAATGCAGCCACATGCTCATGGACTAACTTGCAAACATTCAGGATTTCCCATTGTCTCCCAAGGGGTCATACTAAAATTTTGAAAAACAGAATCACAAAACGTTTCCGTATGAAAGAGCAATAAACTAGTAAACAAACATCTTTATAACAAAATCAATGTACAGATACACAGTGTTAGTGTACATGAGAAAGAATATGGATTCTTCAAGTGTTCTGTTCTCTTGGTTTTAGTCTTTGTTGAAGTCTACAATAGCCTTATCTTGGATTTATGGCCCGATGTTATCATCATTATTGTTGAAAAGCGGCCAGATTATTTATTTATTTATAAAGCCATGAATTACTTGCACCTAGGGCTGTAAAACATAGCATAAACCACTTCACAGCCTGTCACTTAATTTAAACAGAAATTTTGGTTGGGTCGCTAACAACACATCCAAACATTATTCCTCATGCTGAACTACAATGATGAAAAACTATTACAAAGATTATAATGATGGATTATGAAAAACAGATTTAGGAATGAGTACTGATAGAATCAGTAGAGTGCCTACTGATAGACCATATCCTTCCACCTACAGTAGCTGTAGAAAGTATTATATCCACTGTTAAACTGACACAAGGAACAATAAGATACAGTAGATGATTTTATTTAGGTGATTTTATATAAACTAGTTTTAGAAAATTGACTATAAAATTTAATTGTCACCCTCTAATTTTGGGAAAATTGTATAGTCATCCTCCTGGTGTACACATGGTAAAATCTGGTACCAGTTGGTTTCTGTAGAATAACACTCTAAATAAATGTTTTATTTTATGTTTGAAAGCACAAATTTTTCCTCATACTATTTTCTTAATCCAACTTTCTTCTTTCTCCTTACCAGTGTGCCAAGAGTTCCAGCAGCATTCATCACAGATTCTGAGTCGTCATAATCCAGCATGTTGCTGAGGTCTGCAAGGATGGTGTGCGGGTGTTGACCGCTAATGAGGGCCAGAATACGTGCTTGCCCAAGGTGATGCTCTGCTAGAGTCCCAAGGATATATGCTGAGTTTCCCGCAACCCTGCATAAAATACATAATTGGAATGTAATGTTATACTGATAAACTATGAACGAAATATCTTATTTCAACCAAGGGGGTACCTCCTTGTTTCAACATATTATATCAGGGCAGGGTCACAAGTCTGTTGAAACTCATAATTGTGTATGTTTTCACAACTTTATTATCCGACAGATATCACAATGTGCAGCAAAAAAAAATAAAATTAAATGCGCTAAGAAATCTCATTACAGCCAGCCCAGGCACAATAAATATTTCAAAATTATATAAAACAAAATGGGGTAGAAAAAATTCAAATTTAAGTCAGAGAGGGCCATTTCTGTTCACCTAGAGGTGCAATAATCATGAATTTTCTTACCTCAGCCCCAACCATGGTTGGGTTGAGGTGGTCTAGTAGACCCCCCATCGGTGACATTTTCTCCCTCCCACCCCCTCCCCTTCTACTTGCCACCATCCCAGAAACGACTTCTTCCATCTGGGGACCCCATTATAAAGAGAAAAACATTAACCTCTCCTGTACAGACTCTTTGAAATTATTTTTGGGGGTTAATTTGTCTGGTAAATTTGTCTTCGTTAATGCCTCATTATACAATCTGAAAAACATTCTTCAATATCAAAGGTGATCACCTTTTCTAAAAAAATTACAATATCTGTAATTAAAAATGTATTAGGAATATTACTTTTTAAGTACCAGTAGTAACTTCATTTTAGCAGATATTCTATATATATATATATCATAAAAAAATAATTTAGACAACATGGTTTTTTGAATGCTTTGAAATACTGTAACTCATATTTGTGCTCAATCTGAGTTTGACTCAATTTGAGTCCTCCTTAACACTATGGTAAGCTTCGTTGTGTGTTTTTCTTTTCTCTTAAATTTTAAATTGTTTGCTCTTATTGGAAGAATGAAATATAATGAAGGAATCAATGATACTTTTTTTTTAATGAATACTGGTTCAAAGACAAAGCTGCAAATGCTGGGTGGTAATTCAGCAATCTGTAACTCATACTAGGCCAGACACATTTATTTTACTAGGTGCCCATGTCCCTTAGAAACTAACCCATTGAAGCCTGCTGTGCAAATATTCAACCTCAGGAGAAGTCTACAGTATAACAACCTGTCACAGAAAACGTAGTCTAGTTCAAGACTGTAATTTTATACTGTAACAATAAGCGATAATCAAATAGTAACAAAAATGGAAACTTGCTCAGCTATATATAATACTGCAGTGATAGATCCAGGGGTGACAACATAAAAAAATCACATTGGAGGGCATTTTATATTGTATTTTACTTTCTCCTAAAATGTTGTAATAAATTTAAAAAAAAAAAAATTTTTTAGAACTTAACCCTTATTATAAAATTAGTTTTTATGTCCCTGTCCCTCTTTCTGCATCCCTAATACTGACAGAGAAAATATATTATCCTTTGTTCTTAAGACATCAGCGATACTTTTTAATACCTTCTTTAGCGAACTTATTATATTAAAGATCGTCAGCAGAGGGCATGATAAAAATTTATTTAAAAAATTTTTTTTTTTCTGCAATGTCCACTTTTCAAAGCAGGGGGTGTGCTAACTGGCCAAAAATAAGTTATTTATTCGAAATGCTCATTATTGGCATAATAATACATTGTGTAGCATAGTTCTCAACTAATGTAGTCCTGTAAATAAATTAATAAAGAAATTGTGTAATAAAATGCCTCTGGCGGGACTCGAACCTGCGACCTCTCACTGTCAAACCATTACACCACGGAGGCTTCATGGTTGAACAAATTCAACATATATATATATTTATATATATATACAGTATATAAAATGTATAAAATAAAAAATTACTATTAACATCCATTATCATAAGCTGGGGTGGATGCTGGGGGTGGCAGGCTGCAACAGTGCAATTGCACCACCTAAGCTGTATTAAAAAACATTTTTGTATTGTATTGTTGATATGAACATAGTACGATTTTTAAGGTATGAGAGTGCAATTTCCGGGCACCTACCTGTAGGTCCATATTATCAAGGTTTTGCACCTCAGCCCCAACCGTGGTGGGCCTGAGGTCGTGTGGACTCTCACGCACCCCCTATCGCCCATCCTGAGTCTGCCCTCCCCCCCCCACACAGCCAACGCCAATAGGCGCACACAGCTAATGTGTATTGCACAGCAAAAATCACATAGTCAACTCAAAAAAATAGGCCTCGTAATATTAATAGCAAACAGTTGCATGATCAATCACCTACCTGCTGAACATTTAATATTATATTTATTACTAATTGTTACTATAGATAGTAGTAGCTAGGTCTCTCTAGCTAGGGTCTACTGGCTGAATTCGATCCAACTCGGCCACAAGTCAACTCGGCCACAGTCAACTCGGCCACAAGTTAACTCGGCCACAAGTCAACTCGGCCACAAGTTAACTCGGCCACAAGTCAACTCGGCCACAAAAAGTTTGGCTACAGTCAACTCGGCCACAAGTCAACTCGGCCACAAGTCATCTCGGCCACAAATCAACTCGGCCACAAGTCAACTCGGCCATAAGTCATTTACTGGTACTACATTGTACTAATTGTTATTATTATTGCTGTTATTATTGTTGTCATTGTTGTTATTATTATTGTTGTTTTTATTACTGTTAGTTTTAATAGTAATTATTAGTCTTAGCATTAACCTTATATATTGTTCAAATTTTTGCTGATATTATTATTACAGTACCATATAAATAATAAATAATTTTCGATTTTTTATTATTATTATTATTTATTATTCTTAGTATTATAATTTTGATAATAGAAATTTTAAAAAGTTGTTGTTATGGGCATTTTATTAGTATTTTTCTCATATTATTATTATTATTATTAATATTATTGTTATTGTTGTCACCTTTATTATCGATATTACTACCCTATTATTACTAAGTAGGCCTAGTATTACAAGTATCATTATTATTATTATTACTAATTAGTATTACTATTATTATAAAAATAAACATTATCTTTAATTTATTATTGTTGTATTATTGCTATTATCACCTTCAATATCGTTATTATCACTAATTAGTTGTCTCTTATACACATCTATATGTCCTGTTACAAAAAAGATAGAGAAACTGAGAACCCAAATGTATTTAATTTTTGATTTATTATCGTCATAATGACTAATTAGTATTATTAATGTAAATATTACTAATTTATTGTCGTTATTGTTGTTTAATATTATTGTTGAAGTAGAATGTTGTGAGTAAACAGAAGACGAACACATTAATTGTGGCCGAGTTGACTTGTGGCCGAATTGACTTGTGGCCGAGTTGACTGTGGCCGAGTTGACTTGTGGCCGAGTTGACCTGCACCCTACTGGCTAGCTCATGCCAGGGCCTTTTATTTCTGGTACATAGGCCTAGGCCTATTCAATTTTAGTAAAACTGATTATTATTATAATATGCCTAACTTAAGCTCCTGTAACTGTACTGACTTCTTTTTTTTCAAAGTGGTACATCAGTGTTTAATATATAATAAATTACCTGGTATTCTTATGACGTAGCATATAAACCAAACCCCACAAAAAATCTTCAGAACCGCAATGGTCCAGGAACGAAGTTACAGTCCTAGGCTTGTCCTTGTGCAGATCATCGACCAGCAGCTCAAGGGCTGCGTGGGCATCTTCCCCACCGCTGATCAGCAGCTGGAAGTACTCTTTCTTACGCCAATTAAGTGCCATTGTTGGCCGTCTAAATAAAAGTTACATGGACGGAGACGGAATGATTAAATGCAGAATTACAATCAGGTTACATATTGATACTAGTAACGTTATCTCTCATCGTAAAAGCAATGCACTAAAAGAAAGCAGTGCCACCTGATCCCCGTTGTCATGTTTACTTGAGATTTGTGTACGGGGACTACGAGAGTCGCGAGGCAGGAGACTCGAAAATCAGTAAATTGATCACAAAACAAGTTAATCATATAAATAAAGAGGGCTTCAGTACATCGTCGTCACCATGAAACTTATGGTTCGAGATGCGTTCTTATTCAAGATATTTTATTGTCTGAAAAACTCAGAAATTACATTCCATTGGCAGAGTTACAAGTGTTAATAACACATACAGTAATAAATAAAAGATAACTAAGGATATAGACATATAAAACTATTAGCACGAAAAAAACAATATCTAGGCCTATTCATTAATAACAGAATATTTAACAATATTAAACAATATTATTACACATTAAACTTAATTAATTAGGCCAAAATTCAGCACTTAAGCAACAATTATCTATTAACATTATTATTATGAAGGTGAATGGAGTTTGGAACGAAGGAGTTTCTATAGCAACGTGTGGTGAGCGGTACATGAGACAAACCAGAGAAGAGCAAAATCTACGGTAGTGGATGTTGTGTCGTTCATTAGTTTCTTAGTTTAGCTAATGCGTATTTGAATATCATATTCATTGATAATTTTTTGCAGTCTTTCGGATTGAGTCTAATTTTTCTATACTTTGTTTTAGGCTTGTATATGAACAGATTAGGCAGTAAGTTAAAACGCTCTGTATAGGCCTATTGTTTTTTTGTTATTTTGGTTTTTTTTGGTGCCGGTACTGTAAATAAATAAATGAACTAAATTACTTTCCGCTCCGACGATCCTCCTAAACCAGATTTTTTCAGTCGAAAATTATCATTTACTTTTATTATTTTAATCATGTGCCAATAGTAGGCCTAAATGTTTGCTTCCAATTGTTTTTCTATTACTACACTAGTCTAATTAATCATCATCAAATCATTCTTTATTTATTTTTTCTTCGCCTTGGTTCCGACACCTCCGTCGGACTAGTCGGACCCCTTGTCGGCAAATTTCTGGCGCCTCTGATTAGTACAAACTAATAATTTCATAACAAACAGGATATATTGGTTCGTTACATTTTTCTTCAATGATCTTTTTTATCGTCAATCAATAGAATATGTCAATCCTTGGGACCCTGTTCAAAACCAAAGAGGTAGTAGTACCGTAGTTTAGGAGCCGTATTAATACAATAATTTTTATTAATTTAACGCTATTTAAATTTTATATTTTATGTGTATATAGGCTATTTTAGGCTAATAGTTTGTAGTTATATTTTAATGTAATTAACTTTATTCTAATAATAGTACGGAGCTCGGAGCCCGTAAGGGGACATGGTTAGAAAAAAAAATATTAAACTATTTCGAAGGAATCCGTACATGTTTCTTATACTGTATATTCAAGTAGTTTTAAGATTTTGGATCCTCACTGCAAACTTATGCATCCGTCTAAATGTACCACTTACCACACGTTGCCGTTAAAAACTCCTTTGTTCCCATTATAATAATAATGTTAATAGATAATTGTGGTTTTAAGTGCAATTTTGGCCTAATTTAATTAATTTTAATGTGTAATATTGGTTAATAATTTTTTATTGTAGGCCTACATCTTTGACTAGATATTGTTTGGTGCTCATATACTTGTTATCTTTTATTTATTACTGTAGTTGTTAACACTTGCAACACTTACCAGTGGAACGTAATTTCTAGGTTTTCCAGACAATAAAATAATATTGAATCTTGAATATTGAATGCTTCTTTTATGTTTGATTTGGAAAGACCATACGAAAGCAATAAATCTTGTTCTAGTTGGCGCTGTTCATCATCGATAAAGCGTTTGGTGTTGTTGTGTGTGGGGGGGGGGGTGCAGGGTGGGGGGGGGGGGGGTGCAGGGTTGCCATTTGGCCTTTTTTGACGGCTAGATTCCTCAAATCTGGCCGTATAAAAATTCGCCTGGCCACGTTTGAAAAGTCACGGCTAAACTCTATTTGGCCCAATTTTGTGAAAAGTTTTTTCAAAAATAGCCTAATAGGCTTGTTTTGGATAGGCCTATGTTGTTAATTTTGTACAAAAGCTTTGATTCTAATCGTGTACGTCCTGTTTATTGAACGTTTATCCTCCTTGCTCGCACTAAACACATGTCCCCCCTTTGGCCGGTTGACGTAAGAGAGTTTATTATTTAAAAGATTAGCAGTTACATTTATTAATTTAAATTGTTCGGATGAAATACCGGTATGTATTTTTTTTTATCACGTTTATCCTTTAGAACTTTATGAAGACATGTTTATTGCAAGTTTGTACTGTATATTTTGTTTCTTTGTACAGTATATCCAGCCTAGTTTCTATCTCTTTTGGTTGAGAATTGAATAATATAAAATATTGTATTGGCGCACAGTGATCTTTATGAAGTGCCAAATGCGGCGATGTGATCATTCGGGTCCAATGGCACTTCCAATTTCAAGTAGGGCCTAGGTGTTGCTGAGACTTCAATTACTCTGAATTAGGTTGTACAGGCCCGTATCCTGGGGTGGGGAGGGTTTATGGTTCGGGAGAACCCCCTTTTCTAGCAAACCCCCTTCTTTTCTGGCGAAACTCCCTCTTTAAATTTCCCAAATAAGTCCTCCAACCCAACTAATGCACTGCAGACAGACACAGACGTTTTCAAACATATCTGCTTTTATAGTATTATTTAGACCCATAAAGCACACAAAAATCCTCTTGCTTTAGGGGTTTTGCCGACCTCACCGGGGCTTCGATCGACTGTGGACCTCGCGCCCAGAAAACCCTTCCTTGGAAGAATTACGCATGGCTACGGGCCTGTTTAATGAGATCAAGAAGAAGATAGTTCTGATAGCGACATTGATTTATTGTTAATAATAACGGCAACAATAACATTCAGAATTTAAAATTTAGAAAGTTTCAGATAAAAAGTATTCATTAAAGTTTTCATAGGTTTGTTTGAACACCGGGTTTGTGTTACCTTTAGTGACTTTCTAATTAAAGAGAGCCACGGATTTGTTATTGAAGATTCGGTAACAGGCCCTTAAAATTACTGCTATAGATCGAATACAAGTTACGTTATTTAATACATTTAAATCAAATTTAGATCGATCTTAATAATGTGACTTTAAATAGGCCTACATACTAGCAACTAATTATATCTGGCCGAATTTTATCGAAAAAAAACTTTGGCCGAATTTGGCCGTGCGATGGCGTGTGTTTTTGGCCGTGAAGAAGCCAGAGCCTTATCTTTTAGCTTTCTTTGCTGTCGACTATACTGACTGCTGGTAACCCTGCCGGTTGGGGCGGAGAGAAATAACAAACAAGTCTAGGCTCGTTGTTTGTTTGACGCCCCCATAACTCCAGCAAGATTCCAGTTATACAGTTTGAAGCAGGGTGGGGTTTAAAGTGACTTGACACACAGGGGTCTGGGCTAGTATAATTCGTAAATAAAGTATAGTAATGCTTGGTCATACTAATACCAACTCTATTTTTCCTCTGAAGAAGAGTCAGAATCACCTCCATCTACTAATACTGCTCCTAGGCCTAGAGCCGACTGTGTTCCAGTTCACTCTACTCATCCGCCGGAGATGGGCGAGGAGGCCGCGATAGCAGGTGAACCTCAGAATCTCACAATGGGTAACTGGGCATCGCTGGGAAATTCAGTACTTTCGCCCAATGACAAGTCCTCGTCTGAATCTTATGGTTGTGGTGATGATGCGAAAACTACTGTCACTGATACTGCTAAACCAGCACAATTTAACCAAAGTCATCCAGGCTTAGGCCTAGGCCTACATGATGAAGAATTATCCATGATTAAGTCATTTGTTTTTTTGGATTTGGAGTCATCTGCATTACAGTCGTACGACAGACCAAAGATCACAGAAGTCTGCTTGGTTGCTGTTCATAGATCTAGCATTGAAAATGCTAGTACACTTGGCGGTATGACCAAGCCAAGAGTGCTTGACAAGTTGTCCTTGTGTGTATATCCTAGCAAGCAAATTGAACCAGTTGCTTCAGATATAACAGGTCTAAACAATGCCCTTCTGTTGGAGAATGAGAAAAAAGCTTTTAATGCTGATGTTGCCGAGTCGATTAGCGCTTTTTTGAGAAGACAGTCCAAACCTGTATGTATTGTTGCTCACAATGGATACAACTTTGATTTCAAGTTACTTCGAACAGAGTTTGATTATATCGGACGTTCTCTGCCTTCTGACATATTATGTTGTGATTCCTTGATAGCTTTCAAAGAGCTTGAAGAGGAACATCACAGATGCACACAAGATTCAGTTTCAGACATTGATGTAACACATGTCTCTAGCAACATGCCAAGTAATACCAATGAAAGCTCTGAGAAACTGTCTGTTGAGAAGTCTTGTGTAGCACCAAATATAGGTTCTCCTTATAAGAAGAAGAAGTACTCGTATGCCCTTGGGAAAATTTACCAGAGAACTTTTGGAAAAGAGCCGGAAAATGTGCATGATGCAGAATCGGATGTGATTTCATTAATTCAGCTGGTGTTAAATCGTGGAAGTACAATATGCACGTGGATGGACACACATGCAACAAAGTGGACAGATATTCAGCAATATTATGTTCCATCACCAAAAAAAATGTGTACCAAACAATTTTAATATTTAGTACTATTTTATATTTAAATAATTGAATGTGTGGTTAAAATACTGTACATAGAATTAGTTTTGTCATCACTATATCTGGTGTGGATAGACAGGAAGTAGTTTCTGGGATAAATGTGAGAAATCTGGGATAAATATGAGAAATTGGTATTTAGATAGATACTGTAGACTCGCCTCACTATATCGTGCAAATTTTGTAATGCTTTTATACTTTCTTAATAATTTCTTTTAAATTTTTCCTGTAAATTGAATTTTTAAATGAATTGTATTATGAATTTGTAAATAGATGAAGTATTTTCAAATGTTTATTAGTAAAAATCTGAATGCAGTCAAGTGCAATGAATGAATTAATGATATTCAAAAATTAAAACATTGAACTGCAAAAAGTGCTATATATTTTTTTCAAACAATAAATTCAATTATTATATTCCAATGTTAGCAACTATTCATTTTTTCCCCTTTTTTAATAAGAACTATGAAGTCCAGACATTGGAAATTAATAAATTGTGTAATCTGTTCATTGAGGAAATAGTTAAATTAGATCTGTTTTTGTGATCAATTGAATTTTAATTAAATGTTTTAGGGTAGAGCATATTCCTGATACAGTAAGTTTTTAAATTTTATTTAATTTTTTTTAAAGTTATCAGGTTCCTCTAGAATCCAAGTAAGCAAGCTTGATTAAAATTATTTTTTGTCAGTTGGATCATTTTCACTGTAGTAAGTGCAAAATGGGGATTTTGTATTGTAGGTTAAATATTAAGTGAGTCGTACAGTACTACATAATGGTTCGAAAAAATACTCTTTGAGATTATTGTCTATTTAAACTTTCAATGTTATTGTAGTTATGCTGAACTCTTGCTATGTTGCCAGAGACTTTACTGTTACTGTGCTACAAAAATTGTGTAATATCTGCAATATAAAATATGCAAAATCAACAGGCCTGGATGAAATTGCTTCAATAAAGTACAGCGAAATATTAACTGTATGTTTAAGTAAAAATAAAGCAAGGGAGGGAATTGCCTGTTAATTAAATAATAATAATGAAACAGAGGTTTTGCAGCATTACAGTACATCTAATCTTAAATTTTGTAAATTTCATTTTTTATTGTATAGTTATTTTAAATACCATAGTAGAAAGTACTGTAGTAGTTAGTTTAAAATTATGTACAGTTAGTTTTGTATGATGGCTTAAAATTTGATTAACAATGGATTACGTATAAACTGGAATTTGGCAAGATTCATTTTCATTGTAATAGGGATACAGCAATGTACAATGTAAGTTATGGATTTAATTAATTTTTAAGTAAGTAATTTAAATATTATAAACAAGATTACATTTTTTGAATATACAGTAATTGAGATAAAGCAATGTTCTATGTATACTGTGGATGATTGGATTGACGATATATGAATGAATTTTTTACGTAAAATTGTTAAGGAAAATTAAGTACTATACAGTAAATAGTTAGACTCCATATACAGTAAACTGGAATTTGGCAAGATTAATTTTTCATGGTAATTGAGATACTGTATTATTATACAATGCAGCAGGTTTATGAACAGTGTTTGTGTTATGTTTCGAAATTTGTAATGAAATAAAAAAAAAAAACAATGAAAATGTGATAGTTAATGATCGTTTAATTCAAGCAGAAACTAAGGATGAAAAGCAAGGGAAAAGATTTAAAAATGTGAAAGTCCAAAATTGATCTAGTAGCAGGTGGGGGAGAGTTTCAAAGTTTAGGTGCAAGAAAAGAAAATGATCGTTGGCCGGTTTTGACGTGTTTATGTCCTGTATATTTTTCAGTGATTAATATGTTCTTCAAAATTTCGTCCGCATGACAGACTTTGGGGACAAGAAAAATTCCTATTAATATTTTGAATATTGTACCTTCTAAATTTCTGGCAGCGTATTGTTAGTGATAGAACGTCTGAAAACAGTTTCTTCGATTTGTGACATGGAATTTTATAATAAGTTTTTTTTTTAATGAACCTAAAACAAGTTAGGATATAAATTTATTTTCTTCATGAAATGAGCAAAATTCAAATTTATATTCTGTATTAAATTTTGAGTTTTTATTAATCTCAACTTTCTTTTGCAACTTGGAAAAGAATTTTGTACTACTGTACATTTTTTGTGTGTAACGACAAAAAGTACGGTAATTTAAATCTGTATCTGAGTTTATTATTATTGGGTGGTAGTTTTTAAATTTGCTGCTAAGTGACATTCAAACTCACTGGGCTATATAGGAACTCTATAGCCTGGTTCTCACGAGAGCCGTGATCCGGATACCAACAATATGATGATCGAATCACTGGCCAATAAGAAACTGGAAATTGTAAACACGTACGTGTGGTTGGTTGATGATAGAAGCGCCCTCAACTTGCTAACTGATAGTGCTTGCTAACCGTTAGCGTATCCGGATACCGCTAACGGTTATAACCGATCGGGCGTTCTCACGCAGGTGCTAAGAGTTAGTGCTAACGGTTAGCTCCCGGTTCAGATGCTAGGGCTCTCGTGAGAACCAGGCTTATGAATAGACAGAGCCATAATATAACATATTCCGCTCCTTGGTTTGCGAAAGTCATGTGGTACACACCGTCCATTTTGTGTCATGATCTTCCCGATGAACACATGCAATGTATATGAGTTACGTACACTGCATATTAATTTCACACACTTAATTGGGTTTACAATTATATGTTTATAATTAACATCACTTAGTATGGACAGCGTATTAGAATTCATATTTAATTGAATATTTGCGCACGTGCGTGCTTGGGTAAATTCCTGGAATGAATTGGAATTTTTTTTATGTATCGTTAATTCGTCACACTTTAATTAACGAAGACTGAAGACCCGACGTATTTTAATTAATTGTAGTCTTTTCTTTTGTTTTAATTGTTTATAATAGTAATATATATATATATATATATAAATTGCGAGACCTACCTCCTGGCCTAGGCCTATATGGTAATTATACATTATAGGCCAAATCAATATTTGTATACTGTATTATAGGCAAGCTATTACGTTACAACTAAAAATTAAATGAAAATAA